GCAAAGTAAGATCTACAAAAAAGATTATATGACCAAAATTTGTCAATTGACCCCTTAAGGAGAAATGGCCCTTTAAAGACAATTTAACGCAATGTGTTCATCAAGTTTGCTAACATTTAAAAATCTTCTCTTCTGAAACTACTGTGCCTAATACTTCTTAACTTTGAATGAATGTTTCTTTAGGAATCTAGTTTATGAATTGTATCCGAAATTTTGATCCATCAACAAACATGGTCGCCATGGCTAAAAATAGAACATAGGGGTGAAATGCAGTTTTTGGCTTATATCTCAGAAACTAAAGCATTTAGAGCAAATCTGACATGGGGTAAAAATGTTCAAAAGGTCAAGATCTATCAGCCCTGAAATTTTCAGACACACCGAACAACCCATTTTTGGGTTGCTGCCACTAAATTGGTTGTTTTAAGGAAATTTTGCAGTTTTTGGTTATTATCTTGAATATTATTGAAGATAAAGATACACTGTAAACAGCAAAAATGTTCAGCAAAGTAAGATCTACAAAAAAGATTATATGACCAAAATTGTCAATTGACCCCTTAAGGAGTTATTGCCCTTTAAGGACAATTTTACACAAGTTGTTTTATGTTTTTTAACTTTAAAAATCTTCTCAAATGAATCTAGTATAAATTTTGTATTCCATTTCCTTGTACGTCAAGAAACATAGACACTATGGCTAAAATGGAACATATGGGTAAAAAGCAAAAATAATCATTGATGAAAGATTTAAGCAAAAAAAATAACAGGTGAGCGATTCAGGCTCTTGAGAGCCTCTTGTTTTACACAATACTCAATAACTCAAAAATAAAATTTTGAATCATCACCAAAGAGTATACAGATCTTAAGGTTAATATAACTAAGAAGTGTGTAAAGTTTTAAGCAATAATCATAAACTGTTTTTGAGATACGGCGTGACGTGTGAAAAACCCCTCCCCCTTTTTTAACAAAATACTCAATATCTCTAAAATAAAATTTTGAATCATCACCAAAAAGTATACAGATCTTAAGATTAATATAACTAAGAAGTGTGTAAAGTTTTAAGCAATAATCATAAATTGTTTTTGAGATACGGCGCGACATGTGAAAAAAACACACACCTGTTTTAGTTACTAAGTCCCGTAACTCAAAAAGTTTTAATCTTATTTTCACCAAAAAGTATACAGATCGTTTGACCATCATAAGAAACAACTATATTAAGTTTCATGAAATTTGGATAGGTCATTCTCAAGTTACTGTGCGACATGTTTACGCCGGTCAGACAGACAGACGGACAGACAGACGGACGGACGCCGGACATTTGTATACCATAATACGTCCCGTCAAAAATTTGACGGGCGTATAAAAATGATAAGGGGTCTTCAGTAACTATTGTAAGTCTAGTTACTAGTGGGATGACCTGCTTTTAATTTTACTACTGGGCCAAATTAAACCAAACTTGACCTCAATCATTATTAGGGTATCTAATACTATTTATTATGATTTAAACCTTATTTTACATGATTTCCAAAACCACAGAAGATACAGGTGAGCGACACAGGCTCTTGAGAGTCTCTAGTTAAAGATTAGTGTCCTGCCTCTTATCTTGAACTATTATTGATTGATAGCCACTTTAAACTGCAAAACTGACCAACAAGACAAGATCGACAAAGAAGTTGTTAGTTTACTCTTCATTGAAGTGATTGCCATTAAATGACATTTTTGTACCCTTTTTTGTGTTTTGTACAAAAACTAAAGAAGACAGAGAGAAAATGTAACACACCAAAATATCCTCAATTCAAGTTCAACAAAAAAGAGATTTTTGTCGTGAATTCAAATTATAGGCCTGGTACCTTTGATAATTATTCTAATAGAAACTATAGGCTCCATGGAGCCTGTATCGCTCACCTGATTTTTTTTTGCTCACAATTGATGCATGAAATAATGCAACCGTTATACTTTTGCTTTTAGCCATGTCCGCCATGTTTATTGGCAGGCGCGGTCATCAGACACATTTTTTTCAATCACATCAATTTTTCTGCACCAGATGCACATTTCGACAATTAATGTCTCTTCAGTGATGCTCGATGTCAAAATCTTTGAAATCCAAAGCTTATTAAAAGGATGAAGAGCTATAAACCAAAAAGGACAACAAAGTATAGCCAAAGTTGGGCAAGGAATCAGAGCTTTGCATGAGGGAGATACATTCCTTAATTTAGATTATCAAAAATTTTTAAATTTTAATGACACAAAATCCGTATTTTCATGGTACTGGCTACTGGTATAGTGATACCATCGGGGACTATCAGTCCACCAGCATAAGCATCTACCCAGTGGTAGTAATAACATAAACGGTACCAATTATTATGAACCAGATGCACATTTCGACAATCAAAATCTTTTCAGTGATGCTTGAGACCAAAACATGAAAATCCAAAGCTTAATAAAAGGATGAAGAGCTTTAAACCAAAAAAGACAAAAATGTATAGCCAAAGCCGGGCAAGGAATCAGAGCTTTGCATGAGGGAGATACATTCCTTTATTTAAAATATTTTCAATTTTTTTTTGGTTTCAGAGATATAAGCCCAAATCTACATCTTACCCCTATGTTCTATTTTTAGCCACAGCGGCCATCTTGGTTGGCGGGCCGGGTCATGTAGTTTCAGAGGAAAAGATTTTTGTAAAAGTAAACGGACACCAAGTCATGAGAAAAACTCACTAGGTCCATTGGGCCAGGTGAGCATAAAAAAGATATATAGTATCCATCCATGACTCAAAATCAGTACTTCCACAGCAAAACACATACTAAAAGCAAAGAAACAGCGCTTTTATTGATGTTCTTAATCTCAAAGTCAAAGTGAGGCCCAAACACGGATCAAAACACTCTCAACTCACTGCAAGTTTATGACGGATCGTAGTACCGATTTGAGCGGAACTACAATGCCTACAATATTGGAGAGTGTCAATTGTTGAAGATCATAGACCTAGGTTAGCGACACAAGCTCTTTAACCTCTAGTTTTGTATCTTTATTTCGGAAAGAGGACATTACCAATTTACAAAAACTGGCGACAGGTCTATGTTGTAAGCTGCCATAGAATTAGACTTTTATGATAGCTTTAACAGGATTTCAAAAGACAGTTGTAGTGTCAATAGTGAGAATTATGTATATTGTACACATTTTTATTTATAATTTATGTAGATAGACAAAACAAAAAAGAAAATATTCACCTTTTGCAAGGCTCACTAATATATTTTTCACTAACATTTACTTTACATTATTTTTTAGCACAATTGTATTATGTAAATAAAATTGAGAATGGACATAGGGAATGTGTCAAAGAGACACCAACCCGACCAAAGAGCAGACAATAGCAGAAGGCCACCAATGGGTCTTCAACACAGCGAGAAAATGACTGCATTTAGTGTTGCAAAAAATAATTTTCCATTCTGTTACCTGCAAGATCATTTATTTTCATCTAAAAATCCGAGTGATTGCCATTCAAGAAATCAAGATTTAGAAAAAAAACAAACTTTTTGTGTTTTTAGCAAAAACTAAAAAAAGATCAACAGAAACTGAAAACAGAAAAAATCATAAGCAATTAAAGATCAAGGAAATAGAGATTTTGTCATACTTTAACTTGTATTCTAGTCTACAATGTTGGAGAGTGTTGGAGGCGATGTAGACTCTTTATTCTCTAATTTATAAATTGGATTCTAAGCGTTCCTATTTGTTAATTAAACTTTTGCCATAGCAGTAGTTATAAAAAATTATTTGGCGTATAATAATTATTCAATCAGAATCGATTGATTCTACGGAAGCCGCTTAGTGTCAGTGTCGAGTTTTAGTTTTTTAGAAGTTATAACGACCTAGCTTACTCGTTATGTCGACTTAACTAACTCATTTTTACGACTTAGCTTATCTAACTCGTTATAACAACTTAGCTTACTTTTTAGAACGACTTATATAATTAACTAACTCGTTTCAAACGACTTATCTAAATCATTATAACGAATTAACTAAGTTGTTATAACGAGTTTAATAAGCTAAGTCGTTATAATGAGTAAGCTGATGCGTTATAACGACTTAAAATAAAACTCCACCCTGACACTAACCGGCTTCCGTAGGATTCTGTATTCTTTCCTCGTTAATACCGGGCGTCCGTCCGTCTTTCCGTATGTCCGTCCGTTCGCACATATGCTCCTCTGCCGTCAAATAACAATAACTCAAAAGCGCTCTAAACAAAATTGCATGAAACTTTGATGAATTGTTTATATCTATTACCGTAAGCTCCAATTAGATTTTTATAAATTTTAGAGTTTTCTTTACCGAGTTACGAGGTTAAATTTATTAAAAAAGGGAATTTTCCAGTTTTTGAAAAAAATAACTCAAAAATGCTGCCATTAAAACGTTTAAACCCGTTGTATTTGTTTGTACCTGTCCTAAGTCAGGAATCTGATGTTCAGTAGTTGTCGTTTGTTGATGTGGTTCATAAGTGTTTCTCGTTTCTCGTTTTTTATATAGATTAGACTGTTGGTTTTCCCGTTTGAATGGTTTTACACTAGTAATTTTTTGGGGCCCTTTATAGCTTACTGTTCGGTGTGAGCCAAGGCTCCGTGTTGAAGACCGTACTGTGACCTCTAATGGTTTACTTTTATAAATTTTAACTTGGATGGAGAGTTGTCTCATTGGCACTCATACCACATCTTCTTATATCTATTTGAGCAGTTTTCATTAAACTTTGGTGAATTGTTCATATCTATTGACTTGCAACTGTATACGGACCAGTGTGGAATGTTCCTAAATGCAACAGCACCACAACACGAACAAAAAAGAACAGAACTAAAAAGATAGTCTTCAACAAGTCGTCTTTGAAATACAGCAAATTCTCAACCGTCCAACGCCAAACAGAAGTGGTGAGACAGATACTACAGAAGATTAGCAATTTACACAAAATTTCTAATCTGACAAGTTTGTTCCTTTTATGTACTATAATTTTTATTTTTTTTAGAAAATTGTGTGTTGAAGTTCAACAAGCTCGCATAATTTCCTTTATCGATGAAACATGGAAGAGACTTCATAATGCGTAGTGTAATTTCAGTATAATGGAAAGAAAAGACCGTAATACCTATATGACAAACTATGTCAGACTGTGTTTTGTTGCTCAGTATGAAAACCGAAATCTTCTGGAAGAGCTGTTAAAAAATCAGTTAAGTTTAGGTCATACGCTCCAACTTAAACGTATAAACAGTGTTTTTAAATTTGAAGAAGCTGAACTTATACGTGAATGTTTTGAACTCAACTGTTTTGACAAATTAGACCTGTGTTTACTATACTTGCTGATTAAAAAATTACAATTAGTTGAGCCGACATTTAGAAGGTGGTCTGCCAACTCATATCCGAAAGTTTTAACAATCGAAGATGGCGTTGAACTGATATACCAAAAGTATAATTTAATTTTGCATTCGGGGAAAACTACGTTTACCAATGAAGAAGTAAGGGAACTATTTTCAATATTTAATGATATTGCCATAACATTTGATCATTTCTGCATGTCCAATACAGGAAATAAAAGTGTCACGAGATATGTTGAAACATGTTGTGTTGATTACGAGATGCGCTCGAGGTACAGAAATCATTTGCATGTCCTGGAAATGAATTTAAAAGAAACGAAAGGTTAGTAACTGGAAGCATTATAAAAAAATATGATGAATATCCCTACGGCCATTTAGATATTTTTCTGGGATCTGGGCCTGTCTGCCCACCACATGGGTTCAATGTTGTCCGTAAACGTATTTTCCATGCAACCAAACATGAAAAAAGGAGAAAAACAAAGAATTCGTTGAGTTTTTACAAGAATTAAAAAATCTTAAAAATCTTAAAAAGACAGCGAGGAATCGTAAGGTTGATAGACAAACTTGTTTAATGAATTGGCTTGTAAATGGAAAGAAAGAGTGCAGATGCTAAAGGGGCACTAGCTGTTCACCGATTTGACTCAAATTCTCATATTTGATATATAACAATGTCAAACATTTATCCCAATTATAAAACGTCTAAAATAAACAATATACCGGGCACGAGCTCGATAATATGTAGCTTCGTTTCATGTGTATTTTAGTCTAGACGCCATCTAATTAACTCACGAGTTGACCTCCGATTGCCATATAAGCGCTGCGATATAAACATAAATATAGATATAAACAGATATCAGACTCGTGCATTTGGATTTTTCTAGGTCTGTTCAATTTCATATTATAGATTAAAAATATATGTTAATCATCGTTTTTACCTGTATTAGAATGATTTTTTGTGGATCGAAACAGTCAATCAAATTATTTACCTTTGTTTCACTTTCAATGTTGACATTCTTTTCCTTTAATCATCGAACACGCACAATGCATGCGGTGTCCATCTCTAGCTAAGGGGTTAAATTGAAGTTCACATGAATACGCGGATTCAATGAGGTCGAATTGTTCACTTGCAAGTGAATAATTCATCATCAATGTTTCTTCGCTTATTTTGACAAAATTGAACCATACTGGCTGCTAAAAGCGATATATTATTTTACTATTTCACTTTCATTAATGATTGAACAAAAACAATCATATTTTATATTTTTTATATATCTCGTAGCTAGTGCCCTTTAAAAATGTGAGACTCCAATATCTTTTTGATTTAGTATATTAGTTTCCTGTCATTATTAAAGCACTCGTAAAATGTTTGATCTGTATCTATATAACTGTTTTTTTCCCATAGTAAAATTTTGTTAAAGTTAGCCTTTATATAGTTCGAATCATGTAATTCTCTACATTAAACTTTGCAAGATACCAAACAAGATTATATTGATACCAGTATTTAATGTCTAATAGGAAAAATACGAAAGGATGAACCATTCAATCAAATAAACCACTGCATAGTAAATTTACCTTTATTTTTCAAACACCTACATCAGTCATTATTTTATTATATTTCCCAATTTGTAGGACCAAGATATTATCCACTTATGTATGGAAGAGAAGAGTTCCAGTTATCGCCCGAAATTACGAACTACATGAGAGTTATATATGCGATTCAAGTAGAACTTGCTGGTGAAGTCCGTAAATATATCGCTTCACGACTGCCGCCTGAATTTTTTTTTAGGGAAATGATCAAATCGAAATTGTTTGATGAATTACCATTAAATATTAAATATATCGTAGGACAATGTCATCATCAAGGATACAAGCATTTCAGTTTATATTTGATAAGATTGCTCATAATAAATACATTTTTTAGTTTTGAAACTTTTGATATAAATTGGATTCTGACAGAACGACATAAAATTATATATAGAGGAAATGCAGGTTTGACAGATATAGAAATGAGAAAAAGTTTCTCAGTTCTTACACAAATAGCAAAGGATTTGGAACTTGAGATGGAAGCACCTCATGACAGTATCGTGGCCAAGTTGGAATACTATAAAACCTGTTGTATGGATGAACGAACATTCGAATGGTTTAAAGAAGGCCTTACATATATAGCAGGAAAGGAACAACAATTTGGAACATTTAGAAATAACCCAGGTATGAATATGTTATCAATGGGAACCGTTTTACTAAGTTTTTGTTGTTTGTTAACAAAAGCCAGTGTGAACAATGCGACTTTAGGTTGTCGAACGTAGATTACATCTGAAATAGTTTCTGTATGCAAATTATTGTTAGGTATACGGAATTTCTAAAAAGCAAATTCGTTTAACAAACATAATTAATATTTCCCAAAATTTGTGATCCAGCTTTCTAATTGGGGAACACTGAGCGCAAACATGTTAAAAAAATATATGTTTGCATGATTTGTATTTTATTACCATATATCATGATGACTTATTTTGTTGGCACTTGCAATCGCTAATAAAACACGTCATGTTGGGCCAGTTTTGATGACCGGAAGTATTTTTTTATACAGCAGTTCAGTTAACTAGTGAATCAGAATGAACTGTTTAATTTGAACATTTATAAGTATTATCTAATTTGTAAATTTGTACTATATTAAATTGTTAATTGTTTAAAGTATTAGTCACAGTTTTATAAGTACAGACTCCTTCTAAGTCAGCACTCGTCTATCCGTGACAATTAGTGTCAGAAGTCTGAAGAAACCCGAAGAACTTCTTCGCCCAAAAACAAAAAGATGAAAATTGACCATAGTGAACAAAGAATCGTCTCTTTTATCCGTTAATTTTGCATAGAGCCACAATGTGAAACCGAAATATCTAAATCCATAAACGGACAATTATTGATACTGATATAAGCTATATTGAAAGGTAAAATTTCTTCAATAGAACTAAAGAATTTTTTTAACTTTTAAAGTAAAATTATTATAAAAGTAATGGTAAGTGTTGTTCAAGTTTTCTGTTAAAATGAATTTATGTGAAGGAGTATTGTGCAGTTACTATAGTTAAACGGTCAAATGTATGTGGTGTTCAGTCACTTGTGTTAAATTCGATTCAGTGAAAAAGTTCGCAGTTCCTATTTTTGTTGATAAACTATGAACATGCAAATCCTATAAGGCATGTACATTTAAGACAATATAATATTGTTTTAAATGCAAATGCGCCAATAGAACAGCTACAAAATGTAGTAATCCAAAACATTAAGTATTAGATCTGAGGATTTAGATATTTCGGTTTCACACTTGTGGCTCTATACAAAATTAACGGATAAAAGAGACGATTCTTTGTTCACTTTGGTCAATTTTCATCTTTTTGTTTTTGGGCGAAGAAGTTCTTCGGGTTTCTTCAGACTTCTGACACTAATTGTCACGGATAGACTAGTGCTGACTTAGAAGGAGTCTGTACTTATAAAACTGTGACTAATACTTTAAACAATTAACAATTTAATATAGTACAAATTTAAACATTAGATAATACTGATAAATGTTCAAATTAAACAGTTCATTCTGATTCACTAGTTAACTGAACTGCTGTAGAAAAAAATACTTCCGGTCATCAAAACTGGCCCAACATGACGTGTTTTATTAGCGATTGCAAGTGCCAACAAAATAAGTCATCATGATATATGGTAAATACAAATCATGCAAAAATATATTTTTAGCTCACCGGGGCCCAAAGGGCCCCATGTGAGCTTATACCATCACTTGGCGTCCGTCGTCGTCTGTCGTCTGTCGTCGTCTGTCGTCGTAAATATTTTCAAAAATCTTCTCTGAAACTACTGGGCCAAATACCTTCAAACTTTAACTAAATGTTCCTTAGAGTATCTTGTTTATAAATTGTATCCGAAGTTTTGATCCATCGACAAACATGGCCGCCCTGGCTAAAAATAGAACATAGGGGTCAAATGCAGTTTTTGGCTTATATCTCAAAAACTAAAGCTTTATGAGCAAATCTGACATGGGTTACAATTGTTCAATTGGTCAAGATCTATCAGCTCTGAAATTTTCAGACGAATCGAACAATCCCATTGTTGGGTTGCAGCCACCAAATTGGTAGTTTTAACAAAATTTGCAGTTTTTTGTTATTATTTTGAATATTATTATAGATATATATAAACTGTAAGCAACAATAATGTTCAGCAAAGTAAGATCTACAAAAAAGTTAATATGACCATAATTTTCAATTGACCCCTTAAGGAGTTATTGCCCTTTAAAGACAATTTTACACAATTTGTTCATCAAGTTTGCTAACATTTAAAAATCTTCTCTGATGAAATTACTGGGCCAATTACCTTCAAACTTTTAACTAAATGTTCCTTAGGGTATCTTGTTTATAAATTGTATCCGAAGTTTGTATTCATCGACAAACATGGCCGCCATGGCTAAAAATAGAACATAAGGGTCAAATGCAGTTTTTGGCTTATATCTCAAAAACTAAATCTTTTAGAGCAAATGTGACATGGGGTAAAATTGTTTAATTGGTCAAGATCTATCGGCCCTGAAATTATCAGACGAATCGAACAACCCATTGTTGGGTTGCTGCCACCGAATTGGTAGTTTTAACAAAATTTTGCAGTTTTTTGTTATTATTTTGAATATTATTATAGATATATATATAAACTTTAAGCAGCAATTATGTTCAGCAAAGTAAGATCTTCAAAAAACTTAATATGACCAAAATTGTCAATTGACCCCTTAAGGAGTTATTGCCCTTTAAAGACAATTTTACTCAATTTGTTCATCAAGTTTGCTAACATTTAAAAATCTTCTCCTCTGAAATACAGGTGAGCGATTCAGGCTCTTGAGAGCCTCTTGTTTTAACATGTTTGCGCTCAGTGTTCCCCAATAAGAAAGCTGGATCACAAATTTTGGGAAATATTAATTTAAGTTGAAACATTTCAGAGTTCTATGTTATCATAAAATAACTATTAACCTATTCCTGTAATAAGTATTCAACAAAATAAAACCTGCTGGTCCCGACAGTCTTGCGCAGCATTATAATTTCACGGTTTCTTATAACGAAAAACTCAAACGTTTTGCTAAGTTCAGGAAATGGAATAAGAACATTGAATTTTGACAAAAAACTGTTGTATGTGTTAAAGCTTAATTCTTAAGAAAGACTTGTTCATTTCAGTAATAAGATAGCTCCATATGATAGCTTTCGGTTACGCTATTAATACTCCCGTCTACCATTGAGTAAATCATGTGCATTATTTCACTTTATTAAAAAAAACTTACTTTTAATAGAGTCTACCCCACGATATTGGTATCTTCCACCTGGGCATGACCTAGAACATCTGCAATATCCTGAGTCAAGATACACACTGATTGGCTACGCTTTCGAAGATACCTTATCAACGATTCTTCGAGAATTACTTCATCAAATTGTTCCACCTGTAGTAATTTTCAACTGGATTGTTTTGACGGACCATTTAGTCAGATATTTTAATGCAACAGAATATCTCAAGTTTCTCGAAGGTCAGGAGAATGGATACACAGATTTTGACACAATGCTTCTATCATCTGTTTTGCTCAAGCTGCAGAAAAAAGAAGTGGATGCAAAAGTTTTGGAAGCAATTAAGAAAACTAAACAGGAACTCCTATGTAGAAGAAACAAGGAACTGACTGATACAGAAACGATGTACTATTTCAGTGTTTTTAAAGATGTAGCAAGACTGCTTGATAGAATTCTGTTAAGCCCAAAACAGAAATGTGTCGCATTAGTTGAACAACTAGAAAACATGTTAACTGAGGGTGAACAGCTCAAACATTTTTTTGCCAGTCTTTTGAAAAAGAAAAGTCAGAAACCAGTCTGGATGGAGAAAGGCAGATTTGGAAAAAGTAAGTTGAAAAAGTCATTTATAAATTGAAATTTATTTTGAAGTTAATAATCAGTCCCCTTGGTTGCTACCAGCTTCATCTAGATAATAATAATAAAAAAAACAGCAAGATATGTCGTTACGACAATTTGCAATATCTCATTGAGACGTTTGCATTGTTTTGCAAAATAACGAAATTCTCATGTAAGCACTTTTTCAAACTCTTATTACTTATATTTCGTATCTGCAAATTATACAAAACTTTAAAAGTTTTATTAGTTTAAGTTTTTATACGACCGCAAAAAAATTTTTGTGGTCGTATATTGGTATGACGACGTTAGCGTCGTCGTCGTCGTCCGAAGACACATTAGTTTTCGCACTCTAACTTTAGTTTAAGTGAATAGATCTCAATGAAATTTTACCATAAGGTTCGATACCACAAAAGGAAGGTGGGGATTGATTTTGGGGGTTATGGTACCAACAGTTAAGGAATTAGGGGCCAAAAATAAGCATTTTTGTAACTTCCAGACATTACTTGTGTGTAAGTGTATGGATCTCTCTGACATTTTACCACAAGGTTCCATATCACAATGGGAAAGCTGGAATTGAGTTTGGGGGTAATTGCCCAAAATCTTAGGAATAAGGGGCCAACAAGGGGCCAAAAAATAAGCATTTTTCTAGTTTCCAGACAATAACTTGTGTTCAAGTGTATGGATCTCTCTGAAATTATACTGCAAGGTACCATACCAAAAAGGGAAGGCTGGGATTGATTTTGGGGGTAATTCCCTCAAAATTTTAGTAATTAGGGGCCATAAAAGGGTAAAAAACAAGCATTTTTCTAGTTTCAGGACAATAACTTGTGTGTAAGTTTATGGATCTTTATGAAATTGTACTGCAAGGTTCCATATCACAAAGGGAAAGCTGGGTTTGAGTTTGGGGGTAATTGCCCTAAACGTTCAGGAATTTGGGGCCAAAAAGGGGCCAAAAAACAAGCATTTTTCTAGTTTCCAGACAATAACTTGTGTTCAAGTGTTTGGATCTCTCTGAAATTGTACTGCAAGGTACCATACCACAAAGGGAAGGCTGGGATTGAGTTTGGGGGTGATGAATCGTTAGGGGCTTCAAAAAATTTGGGGGGGGATTTCTTTTCCTTTTTTTTCTTTAAAATTTTCCATTTTAGATTGGTTATTTCTGATTTATATATAAAAACAAATAATAATGATATGGTTTGAATAGGTAAATTAAAATTGTTTAAGTTCTTAGACCACTTTCATTCTGTGTCAGAAACCTATGCTGTGTCAAATATTTAATTACAATCCAAATTCAGTGCTGTATCAAGCTTGAATGTTGTTTCCATACTTGCCCCAACTGTTCAGGGTTCGACCTCTGAGGTCGTATCAAGCTGCGCCCCTGCGGAGCATTTTACTTTTTGTTGCTTTAAGTTGCCCATATATGAGTTTGTAAAGTTTTTGAAAGTAATATTTTTTGCTACAATATGTCGTTTTGTAGTAATTATTATTAAACGAGTCAGTGGTGCATTCACTTAATAGTAATGCAGTCTCGTATAGGCATCACTATTATTTGCTGAATTGAGCAAGTAAACTTGGCAATAGTTTGTCAAATATATGACGCAATATAGACGCAAACAATGGTGTGTCATATGGTTACGAAATAATTACACGACTCTTTCAGCTCCTTCATTATTGGACTCAAGAGAATTTTATGAACTGTTGGAACATGGCTACTACGATTCCTACGAAAATCGAATATATCTTGGAGGTCCTTGTAATGCGGGGAAGACAAGTCTGGCATGTGTTTTAACTGGAGACGAAGTACCAGATAAATGGATATCAACAAATGGGTTACAGATATACTTTGGACAAAATGGAATTCATCTAAAAGACAAGAAAATGATTCAAATACGAAAAGGTGGAAACAAATTATTGAAGATAAGAATTAATGATTTGAAAATTGTAGCAGTCTTATGTACCTCCCACATATCCGTTTATTGGGCATGTATGTACCTTATGTTGGTGAATAAAGTAAAACTTGCTCTATATATATGTTACAGTGAATTTGTAAAATCAGGGATTTTGTATAATCCCTGGAATAATAAGTGATTTTGTAAAATCACTAACAGTTTCAATGATTTTGTAAATCCCTATAATTTGCCAGGGATTTTATGGAACACTGAAAATATTCCCTGATTACAAGTTTAAACATGATATTAGAAATGTGTTTTTCATATAAAGATAAATAAACCAATGATTTTCAAATATATTTCTTAAATGAATAATACTAGTTAAAGCTATTGTACAGTGATTACGAACTGATATTTGGACTACAATGTACTGTCTTTTTATTTGATTATAAAATAAAATATAATTGGTTTATACGTTTCAGTAATTGCAGAATCAGTATATAATACATATTAACTTACTTTCGAACAAAGTAATAATAAAGAGCTTTTTGTCTTTTATCGTGGATTTTTAGCAATAAGTTTCACAATTTCTTCCTATTTTCCTTGATTCCATATGTTAAATTTTAATTTTCCCTCAATTATTTGAAGTAACTTTTGCATGTTTTATGTGTAAGAAATTTAGGTCTTATGCATTTTTCTACAGTATATCAGTTGTTTAATGGAAATTCCTCACTAAGTATTAAAATGGCACTAGCTACGAGATAGAGAAACAAATAAAATATGATTTTTTTTTGTTTTTGTTCAATCATGAACTAGACATGTTATAAAAAGAATGTCAACCAGGGCCGTAAATTAGAACTTGCATAATAGGAGGCATTAGAATATGCGGGGGTCTTGGGAACTTACAGATCCTCAGATGATGAGAAGTTTTTATGTTTTATATTGCTTGTTTGTCTCACCCTGGAGATATTTTGACTTAGTTTCAGAAAACAAACTGTCAAACGTCATAATTGAAACTGTACTTTACATCACTGATAATTTCATTTATTATACCAAATTCACATTCTAATATTTGGCTTTTAACGTTTAGATATTTTGAACATTGTTAGTTTATTACCATCATGTGCCAAAGTCATAATTTCATGCTTATTAATTTGCTCTAATTTTCTCGTATCCGGAGAAATGATTTATCTTGTGTTCGAACTTGGATTTGAATCTTCACAAGGTCACAGTTTTCAGATTCAAGTTCTATGGCCAGCGGTCTTACCCAAGTAAAAACTTTTTTTTATATAAAATTTTGAATGTATTTAGAACTCATTGAACATTGAATATCTATAAAGTGAAATATGTATATTTTTAGAGAAACTATCGAATAAAACATTTTGAAAAGGATCTATAAATGTACAGTATGAATGTAAAAAAAATGATAAAATACATTGTATGCGCCTTGAATTTCTCGAAATTCCAGCCACAGAATTACACGGATTAGTTTTCAAGTTCAGTCAAAAATCAATTACAGTCTCGGTATGTAAAAGGACAAAAGTATCGAAAAACAAAACAAGCGTAACGTCATTCTACAATATCGTAATTTATCAAATTTTTTCATACATCACTCAAGCTTTTAAATGATTTTAAAAGATTGCAAAAACGATTTTTTTTTTGTCTTTCTTTATCTTTGAATATTTAGATTCTCTATTAGAGACATATAATAAAAACCTCTAGTTCTACTTATAAAGTTTTGAATAGATTTTATCTCTAGAATCTATATGTTGTCTCGTGCGGTTATTGTCGGGAAAATTATTCCCCGAAAACTATGGTGAAATTTACGAAACACCGCAAATCCAGCCAAAAGGTATGAAATATCTATAACCTGTACCATTTGTTCAATATTCAACTGTAGTTCAACAAAATTTTAATGCATGTTTGGTTTTGAACTTTAGATCCTCTCCCGATTTTGAATTTCATATCATTTATATCACGAACCTGTTCAAACTGTTTCAACAGCTAATCTTATGTATTCGTTTGTGATTTCTATCGAGTTTCTGCAAGAGTTCATAGGAACTGTTTGTCCTGGTTGAAAAAGCATTCTTCTTGATCATGCATCAACTTAAATTTAACGGCAACTTGATATTTATCTTTCATAACAGGTTTCCATATATTTTTACGCTTATTCGACGCATTGATGACCTGGTAATGGTGATTGTATCTAGAATTGCCACCATTATTCTGAAATCTACGACTGACTTGACAACTGTTGACAAGGACAAGATTTGGGCAGTACAACCGAAAGGGTACACAAAATGAAAAGTATTGAAAATGTTCATCTTGACAAGTCCAGCTTTCAATCTGCTTTAGGTTTTGTTATACTGAATTCGAAATGCTATTAGACAATTTTTTTTTGTGGATTGTCTAGACGAATGCAAAGACAGTTTTTGGGAAGCATGATGCATTAGATTTGAGAATGGGGTTTGACATGCATGTTTAAGAGGTCACGGGGCACGTTAGATGTTCTACGGTGTCATGACAGGCATACGGTGTCAAGATAAGAACTCTGAAATAATGTATCATATTTTTTTCGATTATTATTTTTTTGGTGACGTGCAATAGGAGGCAACTGCCTATATGCCGCCACATAATTTACGGCCCTGTCAACATTGAAAGTGAAACAAGGGTAAACCACGTAGTTGACCGACTCGATCTAAAAAAACTCATTCTTATACAGGTAAAAACGGTTATTAACATATTGTTTTAAACTATAATATGAAATCAATCAGACCTAGAAAAATGCAATTGCAGGAGTTCGCTATCTATTTATATCTATGTTTATGTTTATATCGGGTTATATAACCATCGACAGTCTTCGGAAGGTCACCTCGTTGGTTAATTAGTCTAATTAACCAACGAGGTGACCTTCCGAAGACTGTCGATGGTTATATAACCCGATATAAAATGCTGATACATAATTTTGAGTTTATGCATCGTAAATTGTTTATTTTAGACTTTTTTAATTGGATATTCGTTTTAGTATGTTATCAGTCGCATATGATAATTTGAGTCAAATCGGTGAATTATATTTGACAGCTAGTGCCCGTTTAAGTATTTGGTACTAAGGCTAAATTAACACCAAACTTTCTGAGTGTAACTGTGTAGACTTGTTTTTTTAAGATTTTTTTAATCAAGAGTAACTATTTTTTTTACAAATTAACTAATTAAATCAAGAAATCTGTAAAAAATACTTTAATTATTTCAGTGATTTTGTAAAATCCATAGTCAAAAACAGGGATTTTATAAAATCACCAATCAGTTCAGTAATTATACAAAATCCCTGATGTTTACAATTTCACTGTAACATATACAAGTTCAATAGATATTCCCGATAATTGCCTAAAATATTGATATCATTTATTTATCATTGTTTACAATTTTACTACAATTGACAGCAGTAAGAGGCCTAACTGTTCTTGTAAAAAGAGGTGGAATATTTGCCAATGACACAGCAACCAACAAAACAAAAAATGAACAAAGGATTCATCAATAATATAAAAGTGCATATTTAAACAAATTCGAAGTACTGTTAATTTCTAGTTTTCATGCAAACGCCTCAATAATGTTGTTTGACAACTTTATTTAAACAATATTGGTTGTTTTGCATATGACAGTTGTTTGTCGAGCCTGCGACTTGTGTCGCAGAAAGCTCGACTTAGGGATAGTGATCCGGCGGCGGCGGCGTTAGCTAACTTCTTAAAAGCTTTATATTTTAGAAGGTGGAAGATCTGGATGCTTCATACTTGTATATGGATGCCTCATGTTACGAAGTTTCCGTCAGTCACATGTCCAATGTCCTTGACCTCATTTTCATGGTTCAGTGACTACTTGAAAAAAAAGTTAAGATGTTTTGTAATGTTAAATTATCTCTTATTATAAGTAATAGGATAACTATATTTGGTATGTGCGTACCTTGCAAGGTCCTCATGCCCGTAAAACAGTTTTCACTTGACCTCGACCTCATTTCATGGATCAGTGAACAAGGTTAAGTTTTGGTGGTCAAGTCCATATCTCAGGTACTATAAGCAATAGGTCTAGTATATTCGGTGTATGGAAGGACTGTAAGGTGTACATGTTCAACTGGCAGGTGTCATCTGACCTTGACCTCATTTTCATGGTTCAGTAGTTATAGTTAAGTTTTTGTGTTTTGGTCTGTTTTTCTTATACTGTATGCAATAGGTCTACTATATTTGGTGTATGGAATGATTGTAAGGTGTACATGTCTAGCTGGCAGGTGTCATCTGACCTTGACCTCATTTTCATGGTTCAGTGGTCAAAGTTAATTTTTTGGTCTTTTTTATCTAATACTATATGCAATAGTTCAACTATATTTGGTGTATGGAAATGTTTTATGATCTATATGGCAGTCACACAGGTTTTATTTGACCTTAACCTCATTTTCAAGGTTCATTGCTCAGTGTTAAGTTTTTGTGTTTTGGTCTGTTTTTCTTAAACTATAAGCAATAGGTCAACTAATTTGTTGTATGGAAGAATTGTTAGCTCTACATGCCTGCCTAGCATGGTTCATATGACTTTGATCTCATTTTCATGGTTCATTGGTCAATGTTAAGTTTATGTGACAGTTGTAATAAAGCTTTATATTTAGGACTATCAACATAATATCAATGATTAGTAAAGTAGGCGAGACATTTCAGCATGTTCACTCTTGTTTAATGAAGTTGAGCGTTTAGTTTTATGTATTTCTCCTTTTTAATCAACATTGGATGTTTATACATTTTTTGTACGTAAAAAAGAGCTGGAACTGACTTTAGATTATTGATCAATCTATCAATGGAGTTTTGGTTGATAACATTAAGAATTTGCGATGAATTTTAAATAGTTCTTTAAAACAAATATCCTTTCCGTGCTTCATCAACTCAAAAGAAGAATTCTTACCTATTTAAATACAATAATTCTAAATGTGTGATACTTTTATTATTTGACTATATCAAAATCTTCAGAAAAAGAGTGTATCACGCAAATTATATGAATTCAATTCGAATACTAGTTATAATTACTTTTCGTAGTTCAGTTAATGTGTTTGAAAAAGTATAGGCCATCGATCGACGTGAGTATACATTCTTGCATAATTATTGAGTTTGATCTAAAAGCTAGTCATGCATCTGGAAAAAAGATTGGTCCAATGGACCTTCACTACACCAACTTAAGGAAGTAAACAGGTTCTTGTTGTTAATTATTTGAATTGAGTTTGTTATCACTACCAATCCAACTATGCAATTACATCAACCACATTCGCCTTATCCGTTCGTTCGTCAGCACGTTCGTCAGGCAAACATTTCCTTCACACATTTTCTCGAGCCAAAATGTCTGAAGTTTAACAGTAATGTGTAGTAGTTTGTGATAAATTTTCATGTCTTTCATACATCAACTGCCTGTTTTCTGATACTATGAATTTATTCAATATTGAATGAACAAAACCAAATTTGTTACACTTTGCCCAATTAAGTACTGCTGAACAGAATGACATCATTATTAGTCAGCATTCGTATCAATGATGAATTGTAATATGTTAGCACTTGTCGGATATGACAGACACCTAGGTTCGGTTTACTTTGATTTTTTTTAACACTTTAAAATTTTGAATGAAATTTGTCGTCTCATTTTTCTCAAGTACTACTAAACAGGTTATCTAGTTATTCTGCAAACAGTCCGAAATCGCGTGCATTTTATTTATATATTAATATATTTGCTTTTTGTTTGTTTTGTAAAGGCATGCTGTGCCACACAGTTCATGGTAAAGTCATAGCTGCAATAAAAAACATACAAAAAGAAGACGTAGCATCCAAAACAGAGGTCAATAAAGTCGAAAAGAAAGAAATGGGTAAGGAAACAATGATTGAACTTGGGAATAAATGTTTTCTAACTTTCTTGTATAATTTTTAGGAATGTCAAAAGATCTGAAATCTAATACTCGAGTACTCGGTCATGATACTCATGAGTACTCGAGTACACGGATAAATCTTTGACGTCTAGTAAAAAGTTTTGATTTTTGATGGGATGTGGTATTTTGGATATTACCTTTCATAAATTACCTTTCATAAACCTAATCATAATATGATGACATCGCTTGACATCTCAACCAAAGACATGCGTATTGTTGCAGAACTCAAACTGTATGAGTACAAAATCTACTTGATCCTTGGTTATGTGAATCGCTCGTCCTTTTTTGTGTCAATAGAACAATGAATAAAGGACCACCGTTTCTAAAAAAATAACCTTCTATAATAGCAATTATTGTATGTATGTTCATTAACCAAATCAGAAACAAGCCAAATACCATCAATGGGTTAACGAAGTCCGACTTGATAGACACTGTATCATCTGTTCCTGTGAAGTTAGTATTTTTTTTATGACGACTTGTCTCATAATTTGTCAACAAAATATTGAACTTTAAATTACTAATATGAATCAATATTTAATTATAATTAAACAATAATAACGTTTCAAATAAATATTTAATACATCAAATGTAGATCTCATACCAATCACCATTACAAAGCAGCTGGAATAATTTTTCATTAATAACTGTTCAGTAATGGATAGTTCATATTAAGATGAAAAAACTGTATGACATTTTACAAGTACATGAGCTATGAATTTTAGGCTTTCTAAGCTAAAACTCATTGAACAGACCACGTTAAAAATAATATACACGAAACGCTTGATCTTCATAAGATTGACCAGTAGACAATTCATACCAGTTGGAAAGCTAAATCCATTTAAAAGTTGAATTCCCGTAAAGCCCAAAATTCAAAATAGATCTTTAAAACATGTCAGCTATTCATAAAGGAGAACAATCTTTTTATTTCGAATGATTTAAATGATTCATGAACAGTTAAATAAAAGGTATGAAGAGAGCCATTGTTTGGTCCCTTAAATTGCAAATACAGTAAATCTCTCCAGGCCGTTCAAGAATATACGTATTGTATTGCTAAATGAACCTGTAAGTAAAGTATTGACACTTGAGTTCAGAAAGGTCACGTGTGATGCTACTATGATGTAAGAGAGATAGAGGCGAAGGATACCAAAGGGAATTCAAACTCAAATAAGTCGAACATAAACTGACAACGTCAATGAAAAAATAAAAAGACAAACATACAAACAACAGTACACAAAACAGCATAGAAAACCAAAGACTTAGTAACACGAATCCCACCAAAAACTTGGAGTGATGTCAGGTGCTCCGAAATCGTCCATATTTGGCACCCGTCGTATTGCTCATGTAAGCACAAATCCAGTGATATGTCTAATTTGGTAGGTCATATTCGGGGAAGATGTCGAAATTAACGATTTACACGTTAAATAGCCAATTCTCTCATAGTTTTTGTCATCATATATATGAGCAACAGATTTCCCTAAAATGATATTCCACACCACACCTTAACAGATTTGAAACATGCATTTTGTAGCAAAATATCTATTTTGGTAAAGCTGTAGCTCATATCTAAATGTAAATGACAAAATCTTAAAAAGAGGCTGTTTCGGTAGTATTTACTGTTTTGAACTAAATGTATGAACTTGCAAGCACTTAGGGTTATATGTAAGACATATTCAAATATATATACATATATCAAATGCGTTTTGTTAAAATATTCTTTTCACTTTTTTGGTCTTTTGGAAAATGTTGTTTGTGCTGTATTTAGACCCCTCTAACAAGAAATTTGTTTTGCATGCACACGTATAAAATGTGCGGTTTTTATCCACGCAATCATAGGTTTGAACGTTGTTTTCAATTTCAACTTGTTTATATTTTTTCGTTTGGGCTTTGTATTATATTTGCCTTCGGGTTTCTATAATCCGTTCGTCCTATTTCGACTCTTCAAAATTCAAGAGTCTATCCTAAATTGAGGTAAATTATATGGCCTTCCAAATACCGTTTCGATTCCTAACATCACTAAAGAGACATTTATTGTCGAAATCAGGGTATGGTGTACAAATATTTGCACCTCATGTTTGAGGTATACCTTCTTTTCCGCAAGTTTATTGTTTTCTGTTTGGTATTAAATTAATAATTAAGATCCATTTTGTAACATCTGGTGATCCGTTTATTTGGCAATCGCCGTGGCAGTCAGTAGGGTTTAAGAACTTCCGTTGTTGGACCTGCTAGTCAAATGCGTTTTGTTAAAATATACTTTTCCACTTTTTTGGTATTTTGGAAAATGTTGTTAGTGCTGAATTTAGACCTCTCTTCCAAGAAATTTGTTTTGCATGCACACGTATAAAATTTGAGGTTTTTATCCACGCAATCATAGGTTTAAACGTTGTTTTCAATTTAAACTTGTTTATATTTTTTCGTTTGGGCTTGTATTATATTTGCCTTCGGGTTTATATAATTCGTTCATCCTATTTCGACTCTTCAAAAATCGAAGGGTCTATCCTAAATTGAGGTAAATTATATCGCCTTCCAAATTGCGTTTCGATTACTAACATCACTGAAGAGACATTTATTGTCGAATCCGGATATGGTGTACAAATTTTTGCACCTCATGTGTGCGGTATACCATCTTTTTCGTAAGTTTATTGTTTTCGTTTTGGTATTAAATTAATAATTAAGATCCATTTCGTTACATCTGGTGATCAGTATATTTAGCAATTGCCATGGCAGTCAGCAGGGTTTAAGAACATCCGTTGTTCGACCTGCCAGTCAAATGCATTTTGTTAAAATATACTTTTCATTTTTTTGGTCTTTTGGAAAATGTTGTTTGTGCTGTATTTAGACCCATCTACCAAGAAATTTGTTTTGCATGCACACGTATAAAATTTGCGGTTTTCATCCAACGCATTCATAGGTTTAAACGTTGTTTTCAATTTAACTTATATATATACATATATTGTTTAAAGATTGTTGAAATACACAAAACACTAAGGTTTTTCTACCCCTAAGTAATGATTGCCTGATTTGGCACAACGTTTTTTGGAAATTTCGGTTATTAATGCTTTTCAGATTTTAATTGGATTTGGTTTTTTATCTTTTCTAATCACTGAAGATTCTTTTGTAGAATAACGCGCGTCTGGCGTACCAAATCATCAGCCTTGTATCTTTGATATGTTGTCGTCGAGCCTTCGACTTTTGTCGAAAAAGCGAGACATAGCGATCCTACATTCCGTCGTCGTCGTCGTCGTCGTCGTCGTCGTCGTCGGCGGCGGCGGCGGCGGCGGCGTCCACAAATATTCACTCTGTGGATAAAGTTTTTGAAATTTTAATAACTTTCTTAAACTATCTTGGATTTCTACCAAACTAGGACAGAAGCTTGTTTATGATCATAAGATAGTATCCAGAAGTAAATTTTGTAAAAAAAAAGTTCCATTTTTTCCGTTTTTTACTTATAAATGGACTTAGTTTTTCTGCCAGGAAACATTACATTCACTCTGTGGTTAAAGTTTTTGAAATTTTAATAACTTTCTTAAACTATCCTGGATTTCTACCAAACTAGGACAGAAGCTTGGTTATGATCATAAGATAGTATCCAAAAGTAAATTTTGTAAAAAAAAAGTTCCGTTTTTTCCGTATTTTACTTATAGATGGACTTAGTTTTTCTGCCAGGAAACATTACATTCACTCTGTGGTTAAAGTTTTTAAAATTTTAATAACTTTCTTAAACTATCCTGGATTTGTACCAAACTTGGACAGAAGCTTGTTCATGATCAAAAGCTAGTATCTAGAAGGAAATTTTGTTCCTGTTTTTCTGTATTTTACTTATGAATGGACTTAGTTTTTCTTCCAGTTAACATTACATACAGTCTGCAGTTAAAGTTTTTAAAACATTTATTAGATTCATAAACTATCCTGGATTTTTACGCAACTTGGACAGATGCTTCTTACAATCAAAAGATAGTATCGAGAAGAATATTTTTATTTTTTTTTATTCCTCATTTTTGTTGAGCCTGCGATTAACAGCAAAATTAGGCGAGACACTGGGTTCCGCGGAACCCTTACGAATTTTTACAATTAATGTGTCTTCAGTGATGCTCGTTTCCAAATAAACATCCTAAATTTAATGCAATCTTTGAAGAGCTGAAAAAGGACCAAGTACGAAAGCCAAACACCAGAATGGAAGCAGAAATATGCATGAGAGAGATAACTCCTTAATAAAATTATTTTGAAGTTTTAAAACAGCAAGTTAAAAATAAAAAAAGCACTTGAAGGAATGTGTGTTCAATATTGTTTTCAATTTAGAAATAAGAAATTAGGCTTTTATCCATATTGAGATTTGATGAAATTTCAGAACTTCATTATCAATATATCATCCTCAGTATGAAATTCACTTGACCTCCTTATCATTGAATGCATGTAAACTTATCCGATGTTCCTTCTAGTACGGGAAACTACATACTAAAACCTTCAGTATTTTTGTCTACCATAGTCGCGTAAAGCGATACATAGGGATTGATTTGACGGCGACGGCGTCAACAATTGTTAAGGTTTATGCTTAAGGTAGCACAATACAAAAGCAACTACATTTGATCAAAATTTCATTTTCAGCTGTTTTTGTTACTTCTTAATATTCCAAAACCACAGAAGAAAAATTCATTTACATATCTTGAACTGTAAATGAGTTTTGATAATAATTAGTTTTATAAACAAATGCACGTGTCTGACTGATACAAGATAAGAACATGTGGGCAGAACTTTGTGGTTAATCAATAGAATCATTTGATAGCTGTATGACCACTGACCAGCAATACAAATAACAGTTACGAAAAAGAGGTGGATTAGGGATTAATGGAAAAATGAAGACAATGAATTCCAAATAAAAATACATTTCATTAATGGAGCTGCCAGGAGAAAAACAAAACAAAGTAACAATTTGGAGATATAGAGGGAATCAAAATATAAATGTACAGAAATTAAACAAATGTAATTGTATAACAATTAATGTACTGGAATTTCTTGGGGGAGAATGTTTAGATGTGAATTCTTTTTAAAAGAAAATACAAATTAAATATTTCATTTTCAAACTGCAAAATTGAACAAAATCTACTTTGTGTAAAACACCATATTGACCTTGTATACAATTACAATTCTAAAAATCCCCCATAAGGATCCCCTAAACTGACCAACTGATCATTTTGTGTACACATGCATAACTTACTTTTTGTAACAATCAAAAAACAAAATATATTATGTTATGTACTTAATGAATAAAATCCATATTGAAAAAAGTAAATGCAAGGTGTAATTAAACTTCTGAGATCATTAGTAGTAAAGGTTTATCGTGGTGGGCGGAGTTTTGACCATATCAGTAGCAACTGACTTACAACAAGGTCAATAATGATATAACATCTCCCGCCAGATCTGGTTTTTGATGCATAGGGTGTGCATTTTCTCTATATATTTAGAATTGCTGAAATTGAATGCTTTCTTATTGGTCAAAACCTAATTGATTTACGATTGAAGGCCAATCCTGAAATATCCCAATGGTACATGTGTGAATTATATTGAAGTTAATGGGGTACAAGTAGGAAAATCCTTATTTATTCAATTGTGACACATTCATTTTTGACATGAAAATGTAGTTTTAAATGAATTTAGCTCCTAGATGGGTGCCCCTATATGTCTGATTTTCACACATGTTGTTCCTTGACCAGTTATCTTCAAAAGGGTGTCTCAGATTTCCAAAAACATCAATAGAACAAATTTTATACCCAATTAAATTTAGTGATCTCTTATGAATTTAGATTGCAAACTTCATTGAAGGTTTATGAGAGAATGAAATACAATAGGAAAAATCTGAGACACACTTTTGGAGGTCAAACTGTGTTATACAAGAATCTATAAAATATTTTGGGATGCTATGAATAACAAAGAAGCTATTTTCATTCAAGTGTGGACATCTCAATATAGCAACTAATTACATAATAATTAATTACGTAATAATTATGTCAAATTGACGTTTTCACCATTTGAAAGATTAATCTTTCTTCTTTCTGTTGGTACCTCATTTATAAAATTTAAAGCTGGATGAAAGAAATTACATCAGTTTAAAGTTGTCTGATTGGGGGTGAAAAAATCTATGTATTGTGCTACCTTAAGTTAGTTTGATAGGATTTTCTTGTGATAGATGATTGAAATTTAGTAAACAAATGCAGTAATATCAGTATATGTCAGTTTGAAAACTATTTTGAGACCCTGTCCCATCAAGTGACTTTGAGTTAATAAGCAATTTTCAAAGTTAAGATTTCTGCTTAAGTTAGTTTGGCAGGATTAACTTGTGATAGATCAATGGTTTTTGCATTATTATCAGTTCATATCAGCTGCATGATTTAGCAAATATGACATTATTTTATAAAACATAATAGGTTAAGTATTGTTATTTCAATTTTAGAATACGGTAAAACAATACAAAACAGCCTAAATGAACGATGTCAGACTGTTCTGTAAGCATAACATACATGACATTTATTTCAGTCATTCTTTCAATTTAACAAAAATTTATTTCACATCGTTACAAATTATGATTGCATTTAATTTGAGACAATTTTTGTTAAAACGTTGGATATTGGGCTAGTGAAAATATTGTAATCATGCATTATTAAATCCTTTTTTTTATTTCCCTTCCTATTCTTGTTGATTTTGAAGTTGCACAATCCTTTGCAATACCTGAATTTGAAGACGATATTCTGAATGACGAATGGTTCCATTTGAAACAAACGTTAAAAGACAATATCAAAAAAGACGAAATTTTAGGAAATGACTTAGATAAAGACAAAACACAACAAATGAGATATGGAAGTAGACATATGAAATCAAACTTTGACAGGAGAGATATGTTTGATAGTACACTTCAACTGATAAAAACACCAACATTAAATATAAATGAAATTGAAGAATTGGGAAGTCCTGCAGCAAAAGAAAAGGAAACAGAAAACTCATATCCTGAGTATTTGAAAGTACTTACCTATGAAGCATCTGCTTTATCAAATACGTCAAATGTGCTTCAAGAAGATGACTTACGAAAAAGTATACTGGATGAAATACGGAGTGGAGAATATAATCTAGAGATAGCACCATCGGACTTGGTAGATTTTGGCGGCCAGAAAGCTTTTGACATGACACATCAGCTATTCATTTTGCAAGAAGGTACCGTTCTGCTGCTATTTGATGGAAGTAAAGATCTGGATGAACCATTGCCGGAATACCCTGGAAAAAAAATTTCATCAGCAGGTAATGTGTATAATTTGTATAACCAATTCAAATATTAGTATAAATAAAGAATTGAGGTATAATAGACAATGAAACAACTATCCACAAGATATCAAATAAAGTGAACGTAAAGATCTTCGCGATATTGTACGGCAGTTAATATTAACATGAAATCCCATACCTTATAGAATACTATAAAAAGCCAGTAAATAATAAAAGTAAAGTAATTTAAAAGATAAAACAAGCAAAAAACGAATTAATATTACAAAACGTGCCGCACGACATCAACTGAACTGGATGCTTTAGACTTCGGTCATGCACGTATAAAATGTGCCGGGGTAAGACTTAACCACATTATGTAAGATTAGAGATTTCCAAAAAAATGACATTACTCGACATAACCAACCTACTGTGGATTCATTTACTTTCGTGGGTACCAATTTTGGATTAAGGCAAGCTTACATGTTCGTGGATATTTAATTTCGTGGTTTTGCCGAATTCTGCTTACAAGCCAATGGAAATTTTGTTATACGTTGAACATTTAATTTCGTGGTTCGCCTGTACCCACGAAATCTACGAAAATTGGTATCCAACGAATAATAATGAACCCACAGTATCTGACCGTATCTCGGCCTATTGCAGTGAAGGACGATGGAGGGGAGCATAGACTGCATGAATTTTTGGCTCGTTGAATACACATACTTTTGCAATAGTTGCTATTTAAAGTTTACCACAAACTGCTATTTAAATTCTTTACATATTTTGCTATAACAACCTTTAAAGGGAATATTTAGTTCAGTTACCGGTAATCAAATGCACCGATCATTACTTCGTCATTTCACTTGACCCATATATTTATCTCCCAAACGATGAATTCTTAAAGCTACTAAACCAAAATTAAGTTTGAAAAAATTAAAATAATGGAATCTGAAGCGACTTCATATTCTCATTTTTGATTTAAAAGTTATAAGATTGAACAAGAGTTTCAAACACGCCGGAAAGTAAAAGGTGTACACGACTTGCTTCTTCTTCTTTTTTTTTTTTTAGCATACTTCTATATTTTATTTCAAGAAACTTTTGCCAAAGGTAAATTCAGATCACTGATGCGTCTTTCTGATAGTACTTTCTCACCATTTTGTAGAATATTATCAAATGGAATTTATGAGGACACATTTTCAAGAAAAAATATGATCACAATTTATACTGAAATAGTTTTCTTTTATATATTGTTTTTAATTATAATGGTGCATGGAAGAAGAGCCCGTACAAACGTATGCGTAATCTAACTCCATTGCTCTTAAATTGTTTTTCTACAATGTTTGGCGTTTAACTTTTACAAATACTTATGAAAAACGGACATGTACGGAATATTTGCTTGAAGTTTTGTTAAATTTAAGTAGAATGATAATTTTAGTTTTGTGATAAACTGATGATAACAAGGGGATAGTATATGTTCTGGTCTGTGCATCCTTTCCTTGTTCCGATTGGCAGTTATCCATTGCAAAAGTGGGGAGTCTGTTTGATTGTGCGGGATGTACAAGTACGCAGTCCCGTCCAGTCAGAGTGGGGACGTTTAATCAGATGCATGTAGAGAGAATATCACGATCCCTGTACGTTAATTAGGTCTTTCCACTTTTCGGTGGAAAGACCTTTTGTATTTGTTCTGATTATTATTATTAGGTCTTTCCACTTTTCTGTGGAAAGACCTATTGTATTTGTTCTGATTATAAGGTGTTTCCACTTTTCTGTGGAAAGACCTATTGTATATGTTCTGATTATTATTAGGTCTTTCCACTGTTCTGTGGAAAGACCTATTGTATTTGTTCTGATTATTTTTATTAGGTCTTTCCACTTTTCGGGTGGAAAGACCTATTGTATTTGTTCTGATTATTATTATTATTAGGTCTTTCCACTTTTACCTCCCTTATTTCAAAAAAATTATATAGAAACCATATATTTTTGGAATCAGCAAACAATGAGCTATCATTTGACACTGGAAATGACATTTTAAACCGATTTTTAATATTTTCGTATCAAAATTGATCGTAAGAAGTGGTTAGACCTTCAATTGTTCTCTAAACAATTGGTTTTTAATTATTATTTTTTTTTTTTACTTCCGCTTAATTTTTCTTCTTGCGTAGTATTGTTTTTCATAAGATGTCGCTTTGATATTTGGAATATGATATCGTATAGTTTATACGCTTTAAAAATTGACAACTGCTAAACCGAACACTTTACGTTGTAAGAGTTATCTCTTCCTTGTGACCACTACTCCTTCCCAACCGTAAAAGATTACGACAAATTTATTTTACCAAATTGCTCGTTACATCTTCAGGATTAGGATATTTATTTGGACCGAAGCTATCTGGAGACTCCATGTGAGAGTTATTTCCCCTTATGCATTTTATATAAGTAATATGCATTTCTAACTGGTATAGACATAGGGTCTTTTGATTTAAGGTCCTTGGTAAAAAAAAAATGAAAATTAGGTCAAGGTCAAAGATCAAGATCATATTATAAATTTTGATTTTGGCTTATTTTTGACTTATTTTCAAAAACCGTATAACATTTCGACAAATTATTTTTACTAAATTGTTAGTTGCGACATGTCGTAACTTATAAATTTTGGTTGTAAGGGTGCGTAGACAGTAAATGGGAGTTTTCGCCCATCTTATATTTAGAATTATGTGTTAAGTGGTATAACTCATTAACCAAACATAATAAAGACCTAGGGTCTTTTGATTTGAGGTCCTTGGTTTGTGACCTTGAAATTGAAGTCAAGGTCATAGGTAAATAGGACGTTATAGATTTTGACCTTTGCTCTAAATTCATATTTATACATCATAACGCCATAGGAACTGACATTTTAGACTGATTTTTAATATTTTAATTTCAAAATAGATCTTTACTGGTGGTAAGACCTTCAATTGTTCTGTGAACAATTGGTTTTTAATTAGGTCTTTCCACTTTTCCCTGGAAAGACCTATTGATTTTGTTCTGATTATTTTTTTTTTTTTTTCCGCCTAATTTTTTGTCGAGCCTGCGACTTTTGTCGCAGAAAGCTCGACATAGGGATAGCGATCCGGCGGCGGCGGCGGCGGCGGCTACGGCGGCGGCGGCGGCGTTAGCTAACTTCTTAAAAGCTTTATATTTTAGAAGGTGGAAGACCTGGATGCTTCATACTTTGTATATGGATGCCTCATGTTACGAAGTTTCCGTCAGTCACATGTCCAATATCCTTGACCTCATTTTCATGGTTCAGTGACTACTTGAAAAAAAAGTTCAGATTATTTGTAATGTTAAATTCTCTCTTATTATAAGTAATAGGATAACTATATTTAGTATGTGCGTACCTTGCAAGGTCCTCATGCCTGTCAGACAGTTTTCACTTGACCTCGACCTCATTTCATGGATCAGTGAACAAGGTTAAGTTTTGGTGGTCAAGTCCATATCTCAGATACTATAAGCAATAGGTCTAGTATATTTGGTGTATGGAAGGACTGTAAGGTGTACATGCCCAACTGGCAGGTGTCATCTGACCTTGACCTCATTTTCATGGTTCAGTGGTTATAGTTAAGTTTTTGTGTTTTGGTCTGTTTTTCTTATACTGTATGCAATAGGTCTATTATATTTGGTGTATGGAATGATTGTAAGGTGTACATGTCCAACTGGCAGGTGTCATCTGACCTTGACCTCATTTTCATGGTTCAGTGGTTATAGTTAAGTTTTTGTGTTTTGGTCTGTTTTTCTTATACTGTATGCAATAGGTCTATTATATTTGGTGTATGGAATGATTGTAAGGTGTACATGTCCAACTGGCAGGTGTCATCTGACCTTGACCTCATTTTCATGGTTCAGTGGTTATAGTTAAGTTTTTGTGTTTTGGTCCGTTTTTCTTATACTTTATCCAATAGGTCTACTATATTTGGTGTATGGAATGATTGTAAGGTGTACATGTCCAACTGGCAGGTGTCATCTGACCTTGACCTCATTTTCATGGTTCAGTGGTTATAGTTAAGTTTTTGTGTTTTGGTCTGTTTTTCTTATACTTTATCCAATAGGTCTACTATATTTGGTGTATGGAATGATTGTAAGGTGTACATGTCCAACTGGCAGGTGTCATCTGACTTTGACCTCATTTTCATGGTTCAGTGGTCAAAGTTAAGTTTTTGAGTTTTGGTCTTTTTTCTTATACTATTATGCAATAAGTCAACTATATTTGGTGTATGGAAATATTCCATGATGTACATGTCAGTCTCGCAGGTTTTATTTGACCTTGACCTCATTTTCACAGTTCATTGCTCAGTGTTAAGTTTATGTGTTTCAGTCTGTTTTTCTTAAACTATAAGCAATAGGTCAGCTATATTTGTTGTATGGAAGGATTGTAAGCTGTTCATGTCTGCCTGGCATGGTTCATCTGACTTTGACCTCATTTTCACGATTCATTGGTCAATGTTTAGTTTTCTTGGTTAAGTCTGTTTCTTAGAAACTATAAGTAATAGGTCAACTATATTTAGTGTATTGAATGATTGTAAGGTGTACATGTATTTCTTGTTTGGTTTATATGACCTTGACTTCATTTTCTTGGATCATGTTAAGTTTATGTAATAGTTGTAGTAAAGCTTTCATTTAGGACTATCAACATAATATCAATGGTTAGTAAAGAAGGCGAGACATTTCAGCATGTCCACTCTTGTTTTCTTTCTCTGTTTGGTTATTTCGCAAGATGTCGATTTGATATTTGGTATATGATATCGAACAGTTTATGCACTTTCAAATCTGACCCTGCTTAACCGAATACTTTTCTTTGTAAGAGTTATCTCCCCGAACACTATTTTTCTTGCGTTTGCTACTTCTTCACAACCGTAAAAGATTACGACAAATTTATTTTACCAAATTGCTCGCTATATCTTCAGGATGTTGAGTTTGGTTTTCACCGAAGCAGTCCGGAGACTCCATATGAGAGTTATTTCCCCTTATGCATTTCATATAAGTGATATGCATTTCTAACTGGTAAACCA